AAAAAAAAAAATTAATAAGGAAATTCACTAAACCGAAAATAGCCAGATAGTGGGATGGGAATCGAACCCACCAACTTGGGAATGTAAGGAATCCCTTTTGGCCACGGGGAAAACGGGATCAGAAGTCCTAATGCCCGGGACACTATTTCTTCGTCCTGTCTAAAAAGCCCAGCTTGGAAGCTCGTGCCAGGGGACCGTCCCTCCCGCGCTGGCCCACCTTGTGTAGCCAGTGTTCGTCTCCAGTGTGATCCCTCCATGGTCTCAAATTCGAGCCTGCATCCTCCAGTCACCCACCACTCCTAGCCATCTAGTTTCCCAGTTGCGAAGTCTTCTGACAAAGGACCACCCAGGGCTGAAGTTCCAATTCGGTGGGTTTCTGGGGTCTGAGATCTGCATATCTGGAACTTCCAGAGGATGCTGGTGCTGCCGGTCCACTGGTCACACGTGGAAAAGCAGGGCCTTCATCCACTTTTCACCCTTTGTGTCCTTGTAGAGTTACATTCCAGGACCCTGGATTGTGATCATTGGGTTGCATACCCCTGTCCACTCCTGTCACCTGACTTGTGTACTCACCCATCAAAACCCCAATCCTGGCTTATTGGAAGAAACCCACTCTATACTGACTGGTCTAGGTCAACTGACTTCTGGTGCCAGTAGACGGGGCTCCAAAGCCACCTGCTATTCTTGACTTTGCAGTGCTGAGGCTGGGTTCTGCAAACACTTCTGCTTTGGCAGCTCTCCCCAGTCAGGCTCTATAATAGGGGATTTGCTTCCTGCTTGTTCTATTGGTGTCTCCCACTCTTGTCTCTCGGCAGTGGTGGTTGGAACATTCCAGAAGCATCAGAGGAATACAATTTGCAGTCATTTCAACACGTGGAGAACCAGTTTCATTTTTTTCTCAGAGTCCCAGCAGTGTAGCACCTGCTCCTCAGATGTCTGAGGTTCAGCTCCCCAGAGCTGCAACATCATACCAGGAAGAAGTGATAGCACCTTTCTTCAGGTGCTACTTTTCTTATTTTACCCCTTCAAGCATCCAGGCAGTAAGTCTTCAGACCTAGTTAACATCCTTGGGTTGTGGTGTAGCTCAGTGGTAGAGTGCTTACCTAGCATTCTTAAGGTCCTGGGTTCCATCCCCAGCATTACCAAAAAGAAAAACAAATTCTTTGGTTATGTTAAAAACTACAGACAAACCAAGTTAAGATGGTTCTACTTAGATTTTTTGTCTTTATAGATGGTGGGAAAGCAATATGCTTTCAGTAGAAACTGTACTTTTGACTTTCCATAGTTCCCTGGGCTAGTGAGATACCATCTCTAACAATGCTGGGTGGCGTCAGTTGGAAGGGTGGGTAACCAATACTCTATGTGCTGTGTTGCAAGCTGGGGTCCTCAGTAGGTTAGATGTATTACATGCATCTTAGACTTATGATATTTTCAGTTTATAGATTTATTGGGACCTGACCCCACTGCAAGTGTCATGTCGGGGAGTATTGGTAGCATAGTGTCTCCCGATTAAACCTTGACTGGTATACTCCTGAAACCTAAAATGCTCTCCTAAGTGACTATTTAACACCTCTGGTCAGAGTGCCAGCCCCTCCTCCCCAAACCTCCCTCAAAACTATTGATTCCATTGCTCTTTCTCTGAGAGCAGACACTCCTGTGTCACATCTGACCATCCAGCAACAGCTACATCCCCATATTGTCTCTCCTGCTGCTTTTGAAAAAATGCCCTTACTTGGGCTGGGGTTGTGGCTCAGTGTTGGACTGCTTGTCTAGCATGTGTGAAGCACTGGGTTCGATTCTCAGCACCACATATAAATAAATAAAATATAGGTCCATCAGAAGCTAAAAAAAAAATTTTATTTTTTAATGTTCTACCCATCTGGTGCCAACCCCTACCCTTGGGCATCATGCACTACTGCCTGTAAGAGGGTATCACTCCAACACCTCTCACCCCTCAAAAGAATCATTCCTTTAGCCTTCCTTTTGGATCATTCCTGTCGCCATCTAACCAGTCTTCAATATCTCTCACCTTAAAAAAGCAAAAGCAATCCCTGGACTTCAACCTTCCCCTTCTGTTACCCCTTTTCTCTCCCTCTACACAAAGCTTCTTGGAAGAGGTCCACAACATGAGCAGTGGGAACATTGGGTTGAGGGGATAATTCTGTAACTGGGTCTGCACTGTACTGACACCCACATGATTTCTTTTTAAAAAGCACTTTGCTGCTGATGCAGTGGCACATACCTGCAATCCCAATGACTCAGGCAATTGAGGCAGAAAGGTCTCAAGTTCGAGGCCAGTCTCAGAAATTTAGCAAGGCCCTAAGCAACTTATTGAGACTCTGTCTCAAAATAAAAAGGGCCACAATATGGCTCAGGGGTCACCTCTGCTTCAATTCCCAG